ATTGGTCTCGGCCACTACTGTCCTGTGCAAACTGAACTGAACTGAACTGAACTGAACCTTAATTTCGGGCGCGTCCTTAGATTGTTTGAGCTACACTTACATGCTCTTCGTCAAATTGCTGTAGTTTTCACATTTTCACTCACTATCGTCGCTATCGTCGTTACTCGCAAGATGATATTATTTGTTTCAAACGTGCTTTGATATGCTTTGATGGTTCAGCGGTTTTTGCGACTCCAGTTTCTCAATGTCTAGGCTGGACTAAAAACGCAAGCGTGAAGGATGATGAGTTGCCCTTAATTTCTCCCCCCTGTCAAAGATGACTGCCCCGTCAGTGATCAGCACTAGCTGTCTGTCCCTTTTTCATAAAATGTCGGATTTAACTAGTGTCATCCGATCAATAATTTATACGAACACGTGTGGTGTCTGTGTTCAAGAATCCCGGTCGAATAAGGATGTAGATGACTCTCTGGTGTCAGTAGACGGCTTTGAAGTTTACCGACAGGATCGAATCACACGAAAAAAACCGGAGGGTGTTGCCACATGTCAACGTTTCCTGGTGCTGCAAGTCCCCTGTTATTTTCCAGTACTGCTCAAAAGGTACTGAGTGCTTAAGTATACCGTGTCACCCTAGATTTTCCCGTTTTACTCGCAATTATGACTAACTTGCATATCACACCTTACTATACACAGTCCGATCGTATCTCTTCGACTCATTCATATCTTTTATTGCCCCACGTTTAGATGTTGACCTGCTTATAATCGTTCGCGACTTCAACCATACTAGTACTTATCCACTTTTATCGTTGGGTATGACAGATCTTATTCACTCTTCCACAAGAGGTAACTGTATACTGGACAGAGTAATTACCAATCACCCAACCCTTTTTTCTTTAGCACTAAAAGCACCAGTGACCGTTGCTTACTCTTAGTTCGACCTAAAGTTTATTCACACAGTGCATACCAATCCTTCTCCCGATCTGAGCACATCAGATTTCGTCGTCGTAACCTCTCACCTACGAGTGTTTCTCCTGAATGAATCCCTCAGACAGGCCTCTTTCTGGTTTTCATCATCTCTATTCACATGTGTTCCCCTATTCACCTAAACAATCAATGCCATTTGTGATTACTGCTGCCCTGTTCAAAGCCTTTGTGTCCAACTGAAGGATAAACTCCCCTCTAATGAAGTCACTGCGACGAAAAAAGGAACGTGCGTATAAGTCTCACAATGCTTCAGTTGTGAGGTATTTGTCCAGGCTTATCAAAGCTGAAGTAAATAGGTTGAACGCATTATTCTCTGATCTTATTCTGAGGACTGGAAACAGCAAGCACATGTGGCAAGGTTTAAGACTTCTGTGTGCAATGAAGAAAGGACGGTCGAAAGTAGATGTGGACGCTGATGATCTGAATGCCGCATTCCTGTGCCAGTCATCGGTCATTCTTCCTACCTACTCGTCACCTCCATTGTCAATGAATCTCTAAATTCTTTCACTATCCCCGACTGTTGGAGGCCGGTCACGATCATACCAATCCCCAAAGCATCCCAATCTTCTATCCTCTCCAAACGTTTTTGCCCCATAGCATTAACATCTTCAGCTCCTAAATTGACTGAAAAGGCCATCCTCAAACACCTCCAGCAGTCTATAAACATTGATCCGTTACAGTTTGCTTACAAGCCTAATTAATCCACCTTGGACGCAGTCTCCACCCTCATTCATTCCATTACTAAATCTTGAGTGTGAATTCTGTTCGGTGTTTTTCTGGACTACTCTTCTGCATTTGATTCTATTCCTCGATCTAATTTGTTACAAAAACTGGAGTCGTTTGAATGCTCCAAGCAGTTGTTAGCTTGGCTATCCAACTATTTTACTGATTGGGGAAGGCCACATCGAAATCCTTAGTCAACAACTCCGAGGTCCCTCAAGGAGCTGTGCTATCCCCATGTTTAATTTCCACTTATATTTGTGATGTTCCCTGTGTTTCTTCCGCACGAAATTTGAAATATACAAATGACGTCGTGTTGTGCCGGCCCATTTCTTCTTGCTCTGACCTAAATTCTTTCACCATCTTGATCAAATTCAGCCATTCTCCTTCTCATCGGGGCCAACCCCGAACCCCAGCAAATGTGTTGTGTTTATATAGTTTTGCTCGCTCCCCATATCCGACACCCCATTGATTTATCCAGGGTGAACTGTGTCAAATATCTTGGTGTAACCATAGATAGCAATCTTCATTGATCAACTCACATCCACAACTGCATTGGTAAACTGCGGCGCCTATCATTTCAAATCCGAAAGCTTAGGCAGTTTCGTGCATCCCAGTCAGTTATTTCTACCTTTGTTTATCAGTGTGTTTTCCCCCATCTTAATCTACTGTTCCCCAGTCATTTTCCCTGGCTTACTCAAACAGGATTTTAAAGTCTTACACCGCGGTCTAACCATTATTAGTCGTGTCTCTTCTATTCCTCTAGATGAGTTAGCTCTAAAGTATCATGTAACTTTCTGTGTGAAATTTGCGGAGAGGATTCTCACGGATCCTGACCACCCATTTTACGCAGAACTGGCACTTTGTCGTTCCTATCATTCAACACGCTCCGAATTCCGCCAAATTTCCTCTCGAATTAGCGCATACCGCAATTCAACTATACCGTATCTTGCTCGTGTACTCATAATCAAAGAGCGAACAATAAGTGAACTTTGTCTTAACCTTGGATTATGAAATGCCTCTATGCCTGTAAAAACTTTTCTCCCCGTTGAATATGCACATTGCGATGGCTAGCGTGTATGACATTTTAACTGAAATTTGAGCTCCAGTGCTTTCAACAGTTATACACAATACAATACAATACAAGCATCTTGCTGCCCACACGGATTCTAACAATGTTGCTTTTGGTTGTTTCTGAAACTTCCCATACCCTTCGTAGAGTACTTCTGACAGTCACTTGTTTTTTTCAGTTCCCCTTAATTGATTTGGTACCAAGTTGATTGTCCTCTCCATCCGTTGCTGCACCGTTTGCTCAGTTGTCATAGTTCTATTTCTCAATCTCCGTTATTCTAATGAACTACCAGACGGTGAAACACATTTTTGATTCCAGCCTTTCCGTCCATGTTCAATCTTCCTCTTCAAAAACAGAATTCCTATGGTGATTCTTACACCACCGTTTCCTTAACCTTCGTCCCACAGTATGCCTTTTGATTCTGGTATTTGTTCCTTGTTTTTGAAATCACTTTGTTGTGAAAAATGTTCTCTTAATTATTTAGCTAGGGCTTTCCAAAAAGTGTGAACTATTCAGAGCTTAATGTTTCATTGATTTTTTCTTACAGTAATTTATACTGATTTTCTTTAGGAATATGAAAACCCATTAGGTTGAATCTGATGCCCTCTTAAATTCTTTTTGTACTTAAGTTGACCACTTCCGTTGATAATACCATTTTATTTCACCTTTTAGATTGAACGTAGTACTACACCGATTTTCTCTCTGTCGGTGATAAGTATTGTAATTGGGGCATCTAAAAAGTCTGCTTCAGTTATCTGTGCTGTTAAAAATGATCAATGATCTGTCACAGCTGAATGACTTAAGTGAACCTTCTGGTAGGTTACTGCTTTCTGTTTTGCATCGGTTTCAGTTGTGTCTTGTTTGCTAGAAAAGTTCAAGAATGGAGAAATTTACACGTGGCTAGGAGAGGATGTGCTCATTTCATTCAATCCTAATGAAAACATGCCTGATTTTTATTCGGAGAAATACCGTCAAATAATTTCCGAGGTAACTGACTTGATAAATGAAACTTCCTTTTCATTGACAACAGTCCAATAAACTTCGCGGGAGGCCACATGTTTATTCCCTAGCTGAAAAGTGCTTAAGGCGGATGTGGAACTTGGATGAAGATCAGTCTGTAATTATTTCTGGTTTGAGTGGATCCGGTAAAACTGAGGCAGCCAAGCATGTCTTACATTACTTGGTCTATCGCAACTGTGGAAAAAGATGCCAGAATCGGTATGTCCTACGGCAGCCTCTTTTATACTTTATTTTCCTGTGGACATCTTTTTAATTACTCACATTTTGTGTGATAAACAGCAGACAGGTTGAACCCCATAGTCACTTAAACCTGCTGTTCATTGATGGAAACCAGTAACCTAAGCCCCGGGATTTGGAGTGGCGAACCACATAAGGCCCCACTAGGATAGACACTACTACTCATGTAAGCAACAAATCACTATTGTGCCTCTGGCCATAAGAGCGGCCTTCGACTCCATGGACTGGCGAACCCTTTGGGACCTCTTGTTGATGTACGGAGTCCTCGGGAGGTGTGTTCTAATTGTAAAAGTGCTTCCTGTCATACCTCGGGAAGTGTTAGGGCTCCTTATGAACTTTCATCCTCTTTTCCCATCACTGGTTAGGTACGTCAAGGTTGCTCTATCCTTCTGTTTCTCTTCAACGTCATCATAAATGTTCGGGAAAAAGCATCAATTAACGTACCGAACTCTGGCATCAGTCAACTTCCTGAAGACAGAGTTTTAGGCTTAGAGTATGCTGATGATGTTAGCCTTCTCGGGGACAATGCACAAATAATGTGAAAAACTGTAAACCGCCAAAAAACAGGTTGCTCGATTTGACTAGTGATTTGCTTATTCAAAGTGCAAGGTGCTGCTGCTAGCTTAACTAATCTGTGCCTGCACTTTTTGGGGTAACTCACTAGAAGCGGATGAAAACGGCATCTTTAATATATATATATATATATATATATATATATATATATATATACTTGTACGCAC